ATAGTCAGGATTAACAATAACTAAAGAACCTTTTGGCAAGCCATCTACTATTCCTTTTGCTGCACTCTCATAATTTTTATCGAGAATGACATAAGGTATCTTGCTATTCTTTAATAAGTTCTTTTGTTCTTCAGTTAATCCGCCCACCATCTGCACCACATTTCTACTATTTAAAATCCTTTTGGGCTCCGTGCTTTTTAGAAATAAGAGAGTTTTGGTATTGGCAAACTTCTCATTTCATTCTTTACCAAAATTTTTCACGTGCACAGTATCGATATTATAAGAAGAAGTGGTAGAAAAAGGCATGCCTTCAAAAGTAGCACTCATTTTAATTACATCATGACCTAGTAAAATAGCTCGTTCTATTAATTTTTGGTAGGCAGGATCAAAAGAATAATGAGCCTCATCGAAAACGATAATAGCTTTTTTTAGATAGTTTAGGGTTTCTTTATGTTTTATTTGGTCAGCTTTTTTATTATATTTCTCATTCTTGCCTTCATTAATAGTAAGTTTCATGTTGTTTATGTCTGCATCCGTTAGTAAAGCCCGTGTTAAATAACCCGCTAAAACACCAGGTTCCATAATTGATACGCCATCGACAAAATTACCATCTTTATCTTGCACTATTTTATTAATACCAACATTATATTTGTCATGATTTTCATTACACAGAACACAGGTATAATTACCTTGTAATCATTTTTCATTAGTGTGGTCATCATAAGCCCCGTGAATTAAAGAAGAATTGGCTGAAGTTACAATTACTGGTCTCCGCGAAGCCATGCAATTAATTAATTTAGTAGTTTTACCCGTTCCTGTTCCAAAACATCAATGACCAAGCAAAGCTCTAGGATTAACTTGGGTCTTATTATCATCCAGCCATAAAGAGGGAAGAACTCTTGCTCCGTCCTTTTCCTCATAAGCACAAAATTGTGGATTTTTATAATCATCTATTTTACTTACTTCTTTAAAATATCAGGGTAATAAATAAGTTCCTTTTTTATCTCTCGACAAAACTTCCTCTTGTTTCAATATTTCATCAGGAACTTTAATAGCTCCTTTTTGAGCCAATCAATCTTCCAAAGGCTCTACTGTGGAATCCAAAGAAGCATCTAATTCCAGAAATTTATTTAAAAAGTCGGCAGTTAATGTTTCTGTAGCTTTAAACTCTCATTGTTTTCGTTCTTGTTTAAGAATTTGGTTTAATTCGGCTTCGGAGAATATTTCAGTTAGTAAATACTTTTTTTCGATGCCCGCTCCACTAGCTATTAAATCCTTTAATTCCTTAACTTCTCTTCTTAATTCTACATTTTCTCTTGTTAGTTCTTCTGCCTTTCTTACTCATTGCTCCTCTTGTGATTCTTTTACCTGTTCTATTTCTCGTATGTATTTGTTTAATATAGGCATGGTCGTTATTATTTTCTAGTTTTTTATTTATTAATCTTATTTAATCTTATTTGGTGCAAAAATTTGAACTATGTATTTTTATTTTGTAAATTTAATCCAAGAATATAATTTTTCAGTTTGCAAAACTTTTGTTTTTGCTCTTTCTTGTGCTATCTCTTGGCAAACTTGCGAACAATAAAATCTGTTTCGAGTTGTTTTTTTATGGCAATCATCTAAGTAGCACTTATATTTATACTCATGATTTCAGCAATATACCGAGAGAGAAAGAATTGATTCGGAACAAAAGCACTTATTTTCATCTTTTGCATAATCCTTTTCCTCATTACCATGTTGATAATGTTGCCGACAACGTCCTTTTTCAATTGTAGGGCAATCCTCATGTTTATATGGAGGACGAGTGTCTTGTTCCTCCCCCTCACAATTTTCATAATTATTT